ACCTCCGGTGACCTGATAGGTCCTTACTCGCGGCGGTGAATTCCTTTTGCTCCTGTCCAAGCCCACCTATTCGCCATCACTCTTGACTGTTCCTTGTAGCAGAGTCAGAGCAAAGATTCACGTTGATGGCATGAGAACCATGACATTTGCCCAACGCAAAAATCAAACGGAACAACCGATTTGCGCAGTTAAGCCATTCCCCTTGGTTTTTCTCCAGTGCTGCTCCTCTTCACAACTCTGCTTTCATTCACAGCGGGCGATTATATGTACCATCATCCTTTAATTCTTCGAGCTCATGATCTCATAAGCACCTCAAAACGAGCTGTGAGAAGCACAGCACAAAGAAAGCTACGAACATCTTCATGGCATATTTCTAGATTTTTTCTTCAATATACACGTTTTGAGAGTGCGAAACTTCTGGTTACAGGGTCCTAAGACTTTTTCACGAAACTCATACGAAAAAGGCGTGGTGATTGTGACTTGTGATCAGTGCAAAAATCATCATATTATCGCCGACAACCTTGGGTGGTTTAACGACTTCAAGGTAAACTTCCTCTCACTAGTGGATTTTTACAATACAATGTAATGTTCATTTAGGGGAAAAATATCGAGGAAATTCTCAAGCAACGAGGAATAGCCGTCAAGAGAGGTATAAGCATAGAAGCTGACGAAAGTTCCTCTACAGCCAAAGAGGTGCGGTAATTGAAGCGCTTTCAAATGTGTACTCTCTTTTCATGTGCTTTTTGAATGTCAATCTTTTTTCTTTCATACGCCGACACAGGGGCTCCGCGCATCCCATGTATGACGGGCGTTAAAATACTTTGCAGTTTCTTTGGAAGAGTTCCATCCTTACACAAATGCGGTGCTATAAGGCTTCAATGAGCTTTTATTTGGCACCAATTTTGAATCCAAATTTTGCTTGCAGCAGGTGGTTCACAGAAGAGAGTGGCTTTTCTGCTCTTCGCAGTACGAAACTTTTTGCTGCGGGAATACCAGCTTTACCTCTGATCAGAGTTAAACTTAAACTTCTCTCTGCGAAAGAGGAAAAGTCACTTCTTGTCCTGGCGAGCCACACTATTGCTTGGAAGGCGTGAAAATGTCCTGTAAGATTGCACAGGCTCACAAACTTCAAGACGAATAACGATCAAGCTTTTGTACAACGCCAAATTTGTTATTTGATATGCTCATTCTGTTTCATCAACAGCTAATACTTGGATTACTGTGAAAAATTTTACATATTAAATTTACAATAGAACCAAGTTTCAGATAAAAAATGACTAGTCTGTATCCCGGCCACGTTCCACTTTCGTTGGTTTCCCGAATGCTACTCGGTGTAGGGTCGGCAGCAATGGCGATTACCGACCCCCGCCGAGGTGACATGGTAGCCGCCATGGGAGAAGCAACAGCGCTCGAAAGTGTTCTTGAGAATATTCGGTAGTTAATTATATCTTATTTGGAAGTTGATCGTAGCCTATAGCTTGTTCAATTGGCAGTATATTTTGTTGCAGCCAACGAATGGAAAGTGACGTAGTGGGCGCACGTCTCCTCAAAGAGCGCCCAAGGGTCAACAATCAAACAGTGAATCGTGAATACCTTGAATCGCTACCGGATAACACATTTGGAAAGCGATATGCCAAGTAAGGTCATGTCATTGGTTAGATTGATTGATTTGAAATCAACCAGATCTTGCGTTGCGAAAGCTCCACCTCGATCTATGTTATTGTCATCTGCTGCTTTTTCCCTTCATTGCATTTCTCTGGCTCTCAAGAAAATGTCTTTTGAAGTTAAGTGGCTGCTTTTTGACACATTCCCTGATCCGTAGGCGCTATTCTTCTGCTGAAACATTAGCGTTTTCTTCGCTGCAGTGCTCAACATTCTTGCGACCGTATCCTGTCCTTCCCCAAGGGACGTGTCCCTCGCCGCTGTTTTTCTATCCTAATGCTGGTGGAGACATGGATGCGCCATAAGACCCCTCGCCTTGAAGCTCTATGTTTAAGTTACTGTCCCTGTTTCGTGCGGCTCTTTTCTCTGAAGCCTGCACTTCTGTCTGTGGTTTGCGAAACGCAACAATTCTATAGGCTCCCGATTCACTGTGTCCCCCAACACAGAACCGTTGGTGATTATACTTTTTACACCAGTTAATTCCCACCTACCGCGCGCATTAAACGGAAGGTCGGGATGAGACAGGACAGCCGACAAAGCGCTAGATTCACCGCTAACATAAGCTCTTTATCTTAGCAGAAGCTCACCGTTTGATACGCGCAGTGGAGTGCGGAGCTAAAGTGGTGTCTGTAAACAACCACCATGCATCGAATGCCAGTGTAATTTAGCGGTCGGATTGTGTGTGATGTTAAAACATAATTATCCAGTACTCGTTATCGTATTTTTGAACTTACACCATACATTTTTAAGAACTCTGGGGGGCATAGCGGTTTAGTGGAATTTCGGGCTGATGATAACAACGCAAATGAAAGAATATTGAAATGAAATGCTTTATCTAAAGTCTGGTTTTGAGTGACCTCTATATTCTTGCGCATATCGTTATTATCGGCCCTTATCAGCCGTTATCCTTCTTTTTTCCACCATATATGTTCCCGTCATACCCCCCACAACACTTCTTCGAACCAACGCCTCACTGATGCTGGGACGCGCGCTATGGATATCGCGGAATTGGCGTTCTGGCGCCTCTTATCGGGTCTTATCAGTCGTTATCACTTTGCGTCCCCCACCAAAGATGTTCCCGTCCTACCCTCTACATCACTTCTTGGAAGCCAACGCCTCACTGATGCTGGGACGCGCGCTATGGATATCGTAGAATCGGCGTTTTGGCGCCTCTTATCGGATCTTATTCCGTCCTTTACACTTTGGATCCCCCACTCAAATATTCTCGTCCCACCTGTTGCGCCGAAGGGCGCATATAATTGTGAAGACACACACATACACCACAACCTTAACCAAACCACACAACATATCTAGCGAATTATATATAGTAGGATGGTTGGGGTTATGTCGTGAGCCGTATCATTTATCCACACTGGAGCAGAGTCAACCCTGCGTTGCGCAGTTTTCAACGGCCACGTTGCGCAGTTTCGCCCGATTAGACACGTTCTCTCGCGCGAACATTCACACTCGCATGCTCGAGCCGTCTGTGTCTCCGCCCATACAGCGTGCGTTGAGGATCTCTCAACGTGCCGTTGCGAACTGCGCAACGCAGGGTTGACTCTGCTGGAGGGACATAGATATCCCCCTGAATATGTCTCAAAGGCGCTTCTCACCTGCGAATATTCCATAGGTAATGTGCATCCATCAACTACATCAGTGTTGAAAAATCACGAACATCCATTTTACTGTAGCCCTTGTTTAGCTTCTTGGCTGGCTTGAAGACGTCACCTGATGCACGTCCTCCAGTCAAGTACGTCCAGAACGAGAAACATCTTTATGTGATGCAACGATATCGTGAAACACATGACTTCAATCACGTCCTCCTTGAAATGCCCACTCACATGTTGGGAGAGGTAAGAGTCCTTAATGCTTATTGTAAAGTAAATTGTGATAAAGCGCGCAAATTCTTACTAACTTCCTGTTTTTTTAACGAACACTCATTTGAAAAATTTATCGCCTACTAAATTTATGTGGACGATTTCCTTCGACAGGCCATACAGAGCTGTCCGCGAAGGTCGTAGTCGTGCTCCCTTTGCTGTTGGAGTGCTCAGCAATGGCGCCAAAACCTTCCTTCGCCCACAGAACAAACCTTGCCCACAAACGTCGTCTACAGTGACACCTATCATCTCCTCTCATCCAAATGCTCTCCCGCTTTCAACCCTCCTCGACTCCAAGAAGAAAGTCCCATTGTTAAATGTGGTTTCTCTCTTTTTTCGCCACTGGCGATCCCCTTTTCACCAGTGTTTCCCTATACGATTGCAATCTTATTTGATCAAGAGTTGTGCCTTCAATCATGGTTAGTAAAAGGCCGCTTTATAAATCTCCTCTTCAATTTTACGTTTCTAATGATTCACTCTTTGAGGTAACCGTCAAGTACTTTGAAGGAATTCAGTTTGGTCTACCTATGTGCATAACTGCCGGAATATTTGGAGCGGCACGCCTACGCAAGAAGTGGGTTACCTCCTCAGAGTGAATGTATTTATTTCCACCATGAACCATTTTCTTGTTCCGACAGAAGTGCATGCGAGATGTTAAAATAACTTAGTTTCATAGTTAAATCTCGGCTACTGTTTGAAAACAACTTGTTTCTGGTCGTATTTCCAACAATGCGCTAACTTTTGGATTCCTGATAACTAAGCCTTTGCAAAGCAGTCCATAGCCTCAGTTTACCTGAGCTCACCA